GTATATATATATATATATATATATATATATATATATATATATATATATATATATATATATCGATAAAGCCATACTGTGATAAGTGCAAAAAAAGAAAAACAGTCAGGAGTCCTAAAAAGCATCTAAAAATGCTCTCCCCTAAGTTTCAACATCAGAAAAAAAAAAACATGCTTTCCAAATACAATAAAAATGGACATGAAAAGCTAAAATAAGATTTAAGTTCGAAAACAAGTCTTGGATGCTTGAAACCCCCCAGACAGGTGGGACCATCAACTAAACCTAGTAGAACGACAAATTTTGAAGTAGCTTTAACGTTGCCGTTACAAGGACTCCTCCCTCGGCATTGCCACGACAATTGAAATAAAAATAATAACAATATTACAAAATCACAGCTTAGCAGATTTCAGAAAAACAAAAACGGAGTTTTAATATTCATCCTCCATATGGAAAGAAATACTCGGAAAAGAATTGCCCCAAAAAAGAACGGTATGAAAGCCGCAGATATCCAATCTTGATAAAGAGATTGGTGATATAAGTATAACACAAGACTAACCACTGCAAAGTTCAATCCAGACCCATGAAAGACGGCCATGAAGCAACAAGGTATAATAATAAAACACAGCGCTGGAGATTAAACATTCCTGAAACCCAAATTAAGGTTCCAGAGAGAAGTAATAGGAGTAGAGCTAATGAGAAAACGACAGTGCAAAATAACCCGCAAGAACCCTAATTTTCAGAACGCCAAATAGAACCGCCTCCAAGAACCCGCAAAAGAGGGAACAACAAATAATGCGAACAAAGGACCCCCCGAAACTCGTAGTTCGAGTCAAGAAATCCCTAATTTCGCGACACGACGCGAGACTCCCCGACCTCCAGCATAAAGGAAACACTATCCACCGGCGAAAGGGGGGAGGGAGGAGGACCTGAGGGGCGGCCAAGAGGCCGGGGTGGGGGTAAAGGGACTGTTGCTGTTGCTGCTGCTGCTGCTGCTGCTGCTGTTGCTGCTGGAGGAGGAGGGCTTGCTGCATCAAAGCCTGCTGCTGCTTCAGCCTCTGCTGCTGCATCGTTCCTTGCCCTAGGGTTGTCCTCCGGTACCAATCCGATTCGTGATCGATCGAATCGAGATGAAAAAAAAAATCGGAAAAAGAAGAAGAAGAAGAAGAAGAAGAAAAAAAAGAAAGCCCTCGAAGTCGAGGGAGAAAAATAGAGGAAGAGGAGGAAAGGAAGCGAGCGATAGGGCTCGGGAAAAGGAAGAGGGAGAGAGAGAGAAGGGCTTCGCAGGCGAGTATTTAAAGGGAGGAAGGTAAACATATCGAGATTTCAGTAAGTTGCCCACCGTCCTTTCTCGTGACTCGTGTCGTGTCTCATCGCACATTGTGACAGAGGAGGGGCACGATCGATGTTTCAGCAAGCTGAGATCGCTCCGCCTCGTAGCATTTGTCGCGTTCCAAAATCAATCCCGGCCGAACTGATACGTAATAATTCCCGGGTTGGGTTGGGTTGGGTTGGGCTAATTCAAACTTATTCAACCAACATGAAAATATAATATAATTACATCAAATTAAGTTTAATGTTTCAATATTAATACCTGAATTGATCGATAATTAAAATCTTAATAATCTCATATCATTATACTTTGCTACATGCATTTACTTGTCATATCCAACACAAAAAAAATGGATCGAGAAACTCCAGGTTATGAATTATAAGAAGGCTAAACAACTTTTAGATTTCTGATATAAAAGATCTCCAACTTGTTCATCATTTTGGCACTTCATTGCAGAATCATTTGCATCAGCAGATTCTTCTTCTCACCAAGTGGCTGACTTGTGGGCAGCTACGGTTGACCACAACCGTGCAGTGGTCAACTCCAATGACAAGTTTGTGATGAACAAGGTGATGATTCAAAGAGAAGTTTCCCCATTCCACTTCATGTTTTCTTGATTCCCTCACCAAATCTTTCCATATAGGTCATAAATTCCCAGTCAATCTGCTATGATGGAAGCCTCATCAGACACATGCTCGACTCTTCTGCATCGTGAGGCATCTTTGTTTAGTATTAGATGGAGATAATAATGGAGTTTAGGTGGTCCTCTTCATAGAGAATATGAGGAGACCCACCAAGTAGAAGAGGGGAATCCAGGCACATGCACCAAACATGAACACTTCATTGAACCTGTCACCTGCTAATTTTCTCTCAAAAGTTCAACACAAATAATGTTATAGACCACCCATTCATACAAATTGTTAGCGAAAACAATCTTTGTAAGAGTAATTTGATTCTCACTCTTCAAACAGAATTCATTTTATCTCCCCTGCTTCAGAGAAATTCTGGTAATTGACAATAGATGGCTAAAGCCGACAATCAACAGAGAAAACAGTAGGATTGTGTTTCCACAGTTTGAAGAGATAATTCCATTCAACAGCCACAATTTATTTCAGCTTGCATTAGAGAACACCATTCAAGGAAGAGAACAACATTTCCAGCTACTGGGATTTGAAATCTGTTCAAATCACAAAAATAGATGTATATACAGAATGTTTCTTTCTTTGCTTTCTGTCCCGGAGCAATGAGCTCCAGTTCAAGAAAGAAGAATTCTGTAATCTAAGCGATCAGTGACAACATCCATGAATCTAGTTTGGAAAAAGGAAGCAAGTTCCTCAAAAAGGAAGTGATCAAAGCTTGTGATTGAATAATTCGCTTCGAGCGGAGAAGCATCCAGGATTCTATCTGTTATACTCAGAGCTTGGACTGAGGCTGGGAATGGAGAATCGAGGACCCAAGCCGAGCCATGATTTGTTGTCCTCTCGATTAATCCCCAATTCGGGAGAGGCAGACACTTGATATGGTGATCTTGCATTGATCCTGAAATTTATTTAGAGGTTACGATCAAATTTGGCATATTTCCTTTTCTCTGGTAAATCATGAGGCAAGAATTACCTACCGATCCTTTCTCTTCTCGAGGAACCGTTGGAGCGAAGCTTTTCTAGCAATAGGAAGATCTGCAGTTCAACAAAGCGACAACATCAATGCGTTGTAAATTTATGAACTTGCTATCTATCTTAGAACGGATCAAACTCTGGATTGGACAACAACAAAGACGGATTCATTACCAGGAAGATTAGGCTGTGCTGATCTCGACATGTGGACCTGGGGAACCAGTGAATTGTTGGCAGTGATGGGCACCAAGGTCGAAGTTTGATAGGAGACGGAGACGGATCTTGAGCTCACAGAGTTTTGTGATGCTGAGTTTCCCTTGGTTGCTAGCTGCATCAGATCCTTGGCCTTCTCGGCTGGGAATTTGTCAAACACCAACACCTTCCCTCCATAGAAGATGGTAAGTTGGCCTCTTGCTGCCTCCCTGCAGTAGTAGAAGCAGCCACATAAATGATCAGGTCACCTTCAAATTTCTTGTCATGGTTGATGCCCAGATTGCATTTCCTCCGGTGACAGATGACGAACAACCAACATCAAGATGATTTTTTTTTTTTGTGTTCTACGATCTAAAGCATTTAATCTTGTGCGCTTATACATAATATCAAAGAAAGATTAAATGGTGGATCGAATCGATGTAGGGCATTTTGTCAAAAGCAAAGGGTTTTCTTTGAGTGGGAGGAGTTCGGAGGAAAAGATGAGACCTGGCATCCTCCAACACAGCGGGGCCAAGATCAACACTCTGGGGGAACAGCTCCTTGGCGCCGTCCTCTCCCCGGCAGAGGTCCGCCCCAGGGATCACGCTCATGGTGGTCGGAGGCCGAACCGATTCCGATTTGCCTGAAAAATCGGATAAATATATCAAAAGAAGGGAAAATTACTTAGATTTGGAACGCTGGGAAAAAGAAAGCTGAGATCATTGGCAGATTTCTCGAGAAAAACCCAAAAATCCTGAAGACGAACAAAGGAAAACCAAGATTCCTTTTTTCCGGGAATTTCTCGTTTCAACAGAAAAGAACGATCAGCGCGAAAAGGATCGATATTTACGAAGAAACCGAGTTGGGGCATCTCAATCACATACGTCCTCGATCCGACGAAACATACGAAATTAAAGCAGGAATCCCCAAAATTTAAATGAAGAAACCCCGCAAGCTCTCACCTATAGCGGCGTCTTGGGCGATCCCGAGTCCAAGGTCGGCGATGCTGCCCTTCTCCTTGATGTACTGGCTCAGGAGAGTGCAGGTCACCGCGAAGTTGGTCCTCCCCTGCTTCCGCCCCGCCTCGGCCATGACTCCTCGTTCCACCGTCGAAGCAATCGATGATCCACGATCACCCTTCTGCTCCGGAAACAGGCACGGATTCGCCGATCACCTTCTCCGCCCTTTCCACTCTCACGATCCAACCCAGTTGGGGTCGCCGGCCATCCTTCCCTCGTCCGCCTTTGTTTATAGTGCGGCATTAGAGCACGTGATTCTCGCGCAGCGGCGAGAAATATATAAAAAAAAAAGAAAGATATTTACATAGAAAACAACTTTGCATTTATATCCCGCTGAAGTCACTTATCTCCGTAAAACGTCCCTCGAAAGTTCATCTTTACATATACACCCCGTAAAGATCCAAAATTTGAACATCCTTTCTAGAAAGTATAATCGATGTTTTATGTTCTTTAATATCAAGTAAATATAAACCCCTATCGGCTCCATTACTGAGATTTATTTAGTTTTATATTCGATGATTCAAAATTTTGCAAGGATAGATAGCTATATGTATAAATCAAAACGAATTTAATCTAAAAAATAAAGAAGAAGTGGCAATGGAAGCACGAGGTGGGTATGGGTTGGCCCTACACAGAAAGAAGGAATATATATATATATATATATATATATTAGTATGGGAAAGAAAAGAGTTATCTATTATTAGTATGGGATGGGGTGGGTTGGAAGGGAAGGGAAGGGAAGGGAAGCGAAGAGAAACGTGGAGAACGTGGGTTTTTGGGGGGAGGGAAAAGCGCGTGGGAATCTTGAGGCGCGCCGTCCGCGCTTCCAACGGCGAATGATGCAATCACGGGCGGCAGATGGGGAGGGGACAGGGTAATTAATTGGAGCCACAGCTGGTGAGCGGCGTGACATCGGCGGGGACAGGCTGGAGGCAGTACTGTTAATACAACAATATAAGATATATAAAAGATTAAAAAAATAAAAATAAAAATATTGTTCTTCTAGGAATTGCCTCTTATGTTGAAGTCAATGTTGGAACCCTATTATCTTAAGTTGGATAACACAATAAATGATTGCGTTTTTTAAAGAGGACTTGGGACCCCAAACAAATAATAAAAAAAAAGGAAGAACCCTATCCACTTTTGGAAAGATATGTAGCTGAAAGTTTCTCGAGACAAACAAAAAAAATGAAAGAAGGAAATTGGCAGGCAGCATAAAATCAAAAAGATCTCCAAGAGATAAGGGGTACCAGCAAAGTGTGTGGCGTACGTGTAGGTTCCAGGAATGGAAGAAGGAAATGACTTGTGGGTGGATTAGATTTGACGCCCAAATCCAAGCTGCACACCTGCAAAATCTGACAAAAAAAAACATCATACATGGAGAGTCATGACCACACCTTTATATAATAAATCTTTTTCATGATGAATGTTCACTACAGCTTGCAAATGCAAATGCAAATTCTTCTCTTATCCCTTTTGATCACATCAGAGTATCCTTGAATTGCTTCTCATGAATAAACTGGCTCAAAATTTATGTTTAAAAATACATTTTTTTGAAATGTGCATTGAAAATCTATTATATATAGTTTAAATTAAAATTAAAATTTGATACATTTTTGTTATTGCTCACCTGCAATAACTCGTGTGTATATATATATATATATATATATATATATATATATATATATATATATATATATATATATATATATATATA